TTAGCAAAGGATCTCCTTATTAACTGCATTTGACCGCTCTGCATCTCTGCCTCCTGGGGCACTGCATTTCTTCATTTCTTGGTTTTACACTGAGAGATCAGTTTTTATTTTAGTCCCTCACTTGTTCCCCTCAGAACACTCATTAGACAGGCAAACAGGCCATTTGGTCATCGTTATGCCTGCGCCCTTATCCGTTTCTACTGCACTGTAAACTCTGAAGAGCGGGGCTCCAATTTTCAGCATGCCTTGCTCTGAGCTCTTTTTATCTGAAACACAGGAACCAACAGGCCCATTTGAGGACAATTAAGGGACAGTCATATATATGTTATTTTTTTTTAAATAAGTGTGTTAACAGTATTTAAAACCTGGCTAGGAGCAAGATTTCACCTAATCCTTCAAATTTTCTCTGCCCTCCAGGCTGTTACAGAAGCTTGCGTTCCTATTTTTGTCAGGGCTCACACTGATGAACCTGTTCACATTCAACAGCTCTACGTGAAGAGATCTGACCTTCGTATTCACTTCAGTCTAATATTTTTAATTGCCAAAACCCTACTGCCAAAAAAATAGAGCAGATAGCATTTAATGGATCACTAACAACTAAGTGCCTGCTATGCTGTCATTGAAGGTGCATCAACATCAGCAATTGCCTTTATCCGTTAGACACCTGCCACATTAAGGTTTTCCTGCAATATGCTGGGCAGTGGCAATGGCACCTGACAGAATTTGTTCCCTAGAACAAAGAGGAGCCTCACGTTTGAGTGGCTCTTGCTTTGTTTCCTGGCTTTTGTAGAGATGCTTTTACTGAAGGGGCCTGAGCTGGACTGTCTCTTTCCTTTTGTGCCTTGTTCACAAGGAGTCCTGGAACTTGGCCCGTGGGATAGAAAAGAGTTTTGATTTCAGTGCTGCGGCCATTTTTAACTTATTTTTGCTTAGTGACAAATACAGACCAACATCCATGAGTCATCCCAACATGCTTAGCATCCACCTACAGTTCAACAAAACCAGCCAGCCGGCGTTCCCAGGGAAGGGCGTTTCATAAATCCAGGCAAAGGGGGTTGTCTGTAGCGTTCATTCTCCGCGAATGTTCACATGTCTCTTCTCAACAGGATGCCTTTTTTTGTGATTTTGAATAAAAAGCAATTTGGTAGAGCATTGGAATTCAAGGGAAATATTAAGGGTTTTTTTTGGGGGGGAGGGACCTGACTGGCAAGTCTCATTTTAAAAGACAGCTGGATCACCTTTAATTCACTTGAACACCCACACAGCTTTTAAAACCTGCTTTCTCACCACTCTGACAGAATTTTATCTCTTCACTGTTAAGATTTCTCTAGAGAGTACATTACTACATCATTTTGACAAACCTGGATGTGAAGAGATGAATGCTCCTCATCTCTGAAAGATTTCAGGGTAAGTTCCCTTAACCAGCTTCCTGTTTTCAGAGGCTATTTTTCTGTCATCCCTTCAGATCTATCACAGTTCAGTTAATTCTTTTAACAGCCATCTTTTATGAAAAGTGGAATGCTTTACATCCGTGCTCCCAGCTCTGAGGTCTGGAGCCATCCTGACTACTATTAGGATCTCAAGGGCCGTGTGTGCGGATGCAGAGCAAGCTGACCCAGCGTGTGGAAAGGCCCGGAGCCCCCCAGGGCTCAGCGTGATAATCGGGGCCCATCCTGCCTTTTCCTCGCTTTCTGTAAATCCCCTTCTGCGGAGGCACGCTGATTTCCAGCGGGCAGGATGGAATGTCTTGATGTGATAGCATTCAAAATATTTTGCTAAGGGAACATGAATGGGTGTAGAGAAAAACAGAATGTTAATTGAAAGTCAATTATTCTTGTCAGCTGAAAGCTCCCTTTGGCAGTTGGAGAACTTATTAAACAATAGTATAGAATATGTACCATTCAAAAAACGAATGGTCTAAAGTAGAGACGTGGTCAGTGAAATACAGTGTCCTCATAGACTTGATCGGGGTTGACATGCTATGGTCTGCAGGACAAAGAGGGCCCACGGCCTGCTTTGGTACAGCCTGTAAGCTCTCAGTGGTTTCAAAAATTTTAAATAGCTGGAAAATAAAAAAAGAATAATACTATTATTATGACACTTGAAATAAAGTTTATTGGAGCACAGTCGAGGGCATTTATTGATATAGTGTCTTTGCTCCCACGCTACAACAGTTGAGCACTTGCATAGTTGAATGGCTGCAACGGAGACTCTTCCAAGTGGCGCCTTCAACGACTCAGATAATTACTGCCTGCCTTTAACCAAGTTTGACCACTGGACTAGATTACTGTATCATAGTTAAAGTGACTCTATTTAAAAATATTTCACTGTAAGAGAAATGCTCATGATACAATATTTAGTGAAATAATGATAAGAAACTGTATATAAAAGATGATCCCAAATAGTTTATTTTCTTGGCATAATTTTTGCCTCTTTCCCCTGGTGGAAATGTGAACTTTATGAAAGGAAAAAAAAAAAAGGTATTAATTAATTGAAGTCTAGAACAGTGCTTGGTACATAGTAGATGCTCAATAAACAAATAAAGGTCAGTTGAAGACTATAAATTATGTAATTGTACAATGTATACATGTAATAATAATTATAGCAAAACCTTTCTGGGAAATGCATATATGTTAGGTAGTAGGTCAAGAATTTTAAGTGTGTGAATTTTTATCCTAACAAAGTCCTTTTGGAAGGTATATTATCACCCTCATTTTGCAGAAGAAAAGAGCAAGGAGAGGTTATAAACTTGTCTAATGTTACAAAGCTAAGAAGTAATGTAATCAGAATTGAAAGGTCTGTTGGATTCCAGGGTCTGAGCTCTAATCATAAGCTATACTCCTTACATTTCTCAAAACAAAAGTTTTAACTTTCTCACTGGTCTTTCAGGTGGGAAGGAAAGCGATGGGGAAATACCAGAGGAAAACATCCAAATAACAGAATAAATTACTGAGATAGGAGATTATAAGGTTTTTGTTTTCTTAGCTATACATTTTAATGTTTCTCCATGATTCTTAAAATAAGTAGATTTACTTTTAATTACTTTTAAAATAAGAAACAAATGTTTCTAAGGGAAAGGAAAGGCAGCTCAGAAGGTTGTTAATTAACCATATCAATTGTTTATGTAGATCATTTCCTTGTTTCTATGAGAGTGGTAAGTGAATTGTTGAGGAAACTGCTGGCCTGTCTCAGGGGTTGATTTGTGTCCTTAAACTTCAGTGTCAGGTTTCAACTCCCTTTGAACACTTCCTAGCACTGGGAGTACAAAGTGCTATCTGCAACTTTGGTCCAAAAGCACTAACTGATAGTGCAGTCTTGGTGTTTACCTTTAGAAGTCAGAAGTACCCTTGTCTTTGAAAGCTGTGCTGTGTCTTCTGCTTATACTTGGTTACACTGGTCTATGTGTATCTCCCACTGCCTAATGGACTGCTTTTGCCTTGAATATATTATTATTATTATTTTTAAAACTGGCATACATTTGAAATACCCTCATTTAAAATTATATTTATATCTAAGAAGGTAATTACGTCATAGTAGCCCCAACTTGTTCAATAAAATAAAATAAAAAAGCGAGTGGCAATGTTAAAAATGAAGTTATTTATTTATGGTTCATGTTTTCGTTTTTTTCTCTTAATTGTATAGTAATGACTGTGGCATATTCTCCACAATCTAAAGGGCTTTTCCTGTGTGCTGGCCTAAATTTCAAGATTAAGAAGAGAAAGATTTTTTTTCCAACAAAAATGGAATACAGGTGGTTAGAATGATTATGCAAAGGCTGGTAAAATTACTGAGGTCACTCTAACACCAAATCCAAGGGTGGTTAGATAAGATGAGAATTCTGCAAGAAGGCAGGCAAGGGAGGTGGTAAAATGAAAGCCTTGAACAAAATGGAAAACAGCTATATTTTGACAGCCTCTTGGGTTATTTAAAAGGGCTTTTAAAAATTCCTGTGATGTGTCTAGACATTCCAGTCATAATTTCAGAGGCTTCTGTTGTCCAGGCCTGTTAAGAATGAATTGAGTGGGTTTTTTCAGATCTTAGTGACTTAGTTGTTGGGTTTTTGTTGTTTTTTTTTTCCCTAAGAGCGTCATTCTGATGTTTTAGTTATAAGCAAACCTGTTCAGCATCATCGCTTGGTGACTTTATTTGGTAGAAATGGGAGCTTGGGAGTGATGTTACTTGTTTTAAGCTTGAAGTGTCATTCAGAGGACACATCATGGCCACCCCTATTTACGGTGACTTCGGTCAGGCTTGTCTTTTTATGCAGTTTAGCAATGAAATTTCTAAATGATCAAGGGTGAGACAAAAGCAATTCAGATGACACATATTTTGAAAAATCATTGTGTAGATGATTTTTCAACATGCAGTTGAAGAAATGACAGTTGCTTAAATACACGTTGTGAGGTTATATGTGAGTACATGATCTATTGCCAAGAGCACTGCTGTTTCTATCAAAAAAGAAAAAAAAACACTCTTGCCTCTTTTTCTTTGGACATTACAGTGACTGGTGTGAACCATACAATTTCACTGTTAAATTTGCGACTTCTAAAAATTCTTCATAATGCGGCCTCAGAAAATCAGACAGTTGTTATTACAAATAGAGAGCAGCTCCACTTAGACACTGAATAGATGATTATAAATGTCTGGATTCTTTCCTTTTTTGTGGTGGCTAGTTTTAGATGTGGAATAAAACCACATTAACCAGAGGACGTTGTTATTGGTGGTTAGTGGCCAATTGTTGCCACATCTATAAAATATCTTGCTTAAAACTTTTTTTCATTGTCTAACAATACCTTTCCGTTTTATAAGACTTCTATCAGGAAGCACCATTGAGGTATAAAATATTAAAGCCTCAGAAGACAAAGGGATCATAAAGTATCATCTAATCAAACTCTCGCATTTGACAGGTGAGAGAGTGAAGCTGTGGAAAAGTATGACTGCCAAGAGCACACACGGAGCAATAGTATGCTAAAAGCGAGTTTGTGTTTCTATTTCTCTAGATGGTCGCCCATGTCCTGTCATTCTCTGGGATTCATCTTTATCTCCAACAAGTAATGAGACCCACTCTTCTGTTGAGCTCACGTGGGGAACCTACCAGAAGTTGCTACAGCAGAAATGCTGGCAGAATGGCCGAGTGCCCAAACCTGAGTGGGGTTGTACTGATGTGCATCACCACGAGTGGTCCAAGATGGCCCTCTTTGATTTCTTGTTGCAGGTAAGTTCATCGAGTCTCGTAAGTGGTTTTCTAAGACTAGCACTGAGTTATGTCAGTCTGACACTAAGGAATTCTCTGCGCCTTGAATTTTAATGAAGCCAGAGTTTAAGTTCTGTAAGGCTATATTTGGTAAGTACAGTACCACATGACACAATTTTATGTCGTTTAGGGCAAGGGTCCCCAACCTCCGGGCTGCAGACTGGTACTGGTCTGGGCGTGTTAGGAACTGGGCTGCACAGCAGGAGGTGAGCTTGAATGGAATAGGCTTGAATCATCCAGAAATGATTACACTCTACCCTGTCCCAGTCTCTGGAAAAATTATCTACCATGAAACCTGGTGCCAAAAAGTTTGGGGACCACTGCTTTAGGGAAATATTTAGAAATATTTCTCAGCCCCATTAATAATTTCTTAAGAAGCAATTCTTCAGTATTTCAATTTTGCAATAGTCATACTCACCATAAATACAATTTATTGCGATAACTCATCAACAATTCTTTTTGTTTTAATCCTCACTCGAGGACATGCTCATTGATTTTAGACAGAAGGGAAGAGAGGGTGAGAGAGAGGGAGAAAAACATCGATGTGAGAGAGAAACATTTATTAGCCACCACTCACACACGCGCCGCCAATGGGGGAGAACCTGCAACGCAGGCGTGTGTCCTGACCGAAAATCATACCTGCGACCTTTCGGGTCATGGGATGACACTCCAACCAGCTAAGCCTTGCCGGTCAGGGTCACCTGTCAACAGTTCCACAGAGTAGGTAGTCTTACCCCATTTGGAAAGAGAGTAAATTGAAGCTTGGTGAGCTTAAGTAACTAACTCAAATTCTTGAAACTACTAAAAGCTGGAGCAGGGATTCCCTGGGATTTGTTGATGTGTTAAAAGTTTGTCTTCTTTCCATCATTTTTCACTATGTTTCAGTGGTCACTTGGCCACATAGGTCACAGCCACCATATCCCTTGTTTTCTTTCAGTATTTTTTTTTCAAATTTTTAAATAAGATTAGACTTTAGAGAATAATAAATACTAACCATCTACATAATTGAGTAACTCAACATTTTACAGGTTTCTTATAATGCTTACCTCCTTTTGATAAAGACCTCATGACTCTGTCTATCCCTCATTCCAATTACTGCTTTTTCTTTCCTCCATTAAACAAACAAACAAACAAACATACATGCAAAGTGGTTCTCTGTTGTATAGTTAATTAGTATTTTTGTGGGAATTTAGGACTGTCTTAGGACATTGGCAAAATCTTCTCTTTTTTGTGTATGTGCGACATTTCAGGGAGGAACTAAAGAGGCACAAACATGTAGGAAGAAAACGAGTGTAGTGCAGAGGCATAGCCTAGGGACTGGAAAATTTCAAGGGGAGTATGATTTATGCTGTCAGTGCCACAGAGCCACCATGAGAACCAAGCTGGAAGGCATGGAATTCAGTTTGGCAGGGAGGCAGTCAAGAGTCACCAAATGCTGCTGAAGAGTCCATCTGTGAGACCCAGACTGGTCTCACACACCCTCTCCATTTTATAGGTAGGAAAGCTAAGGCATAAGGAGGTTATTACTAAGAATGGTGACAGGTCTGAGCTCTTACCCTTCTTGCAAGCTAACAAGTTAGCCAGCCACATGTTCATGCATGCCAGCAGAAACAAAAGACTCCCCAGTCAGACACAAACGACCTCATTACTCATGGCATAGCAGGTAGCAAATGCGTCATGGTCCTTCGCCCCTCAGGTTCCATTGGGGTGATACAGAGTGGCCCTGGTGAATGCTGCGTATAGTGGGGATGTGTCCCTGCTGAGAACTCTAAGCTTAGGAAACTCCCAACCTTATAAGAGGCTGCCAGCAAATCTGCTTAAAATTTGTCCCAGAAGGACACAGTGTCTTTATTATTACCAGATCAGGAAACAAATCTGTCCTCTATTCCAGAGCGAGATACTTTTTGCATCTTCCAAGGCTGATTGCTATGCTAACATATTTGTAGAGATAGTGCAGCATAAAACCTGATAGAAGATGTACAAAAATGCCATGAAGAATTGACTCAACAGTCACCTACCTTGTTCAGTGTTATATAGCTGGTAAGTTCCTAAATAGAGATTTCAGCAAATTTGACTTCATATTTTCTTATTTTTAACCATTATTGTGTAAAAACTGCCAAGTTATTTTTAGGTTAATAAAAAAAAAGTTGGTGTGGTAAAAATGTATTAGCAATAAAATAGAGAAAGAGTGAAGATTTCTAGGGTTAAGACTGTAAATGTACTCACTATGTGGCCAGATGCTTGGGGAGTGGTCAGCATAGATGTTGAAGTTCCAAGGATGATGAATAGTGGAAGGATGGAGAGGAAGTCTATGACCCCTGGTAGTGAAGTCTATGAGAAAGGAACGTCCTTGAGGATTGTAGCTGATGAACACAAGAGCTAACTTATATTGAATGAGACGGCAAACCCTTTTAGAAGTTGTCACTAATGATAATTGTTTTAATTATGGAATCTTCAACTAAATCTCTTCCTAGCCTCTGTCTTCATCATTGGGGGAAGCCACAACCTTTGTTCAACCACTGAGTGTGTGTGTTTGCACAACACCAACTCTGCATTTTGCTATAGAGAACAACCACAGGGATAACAAAGTAGTATACGATTGCATACCATTTGCCCCACCCTAAGTTGTGTTTTCTTAAAAAAAAATATATTTTAATTTGAAAAATACGTTGTATAAAACAAAAAGATAAATTCATATAGGAATGACTGAGTGAAATAAGTTCTCACTGCTATGATGTCAAAAGAGGAAGAGCACTTTGCCATAAAATAGCTAGTGAAGGAGGAAGAGTTTGAGTAGGATTGTAAGCATCAAATGATAAAGAGCATAAGGCACGAAATGAGGAAAAACATGGGGTTGGCAGTATTCATATGATATTTAGGGCATCCTAAATATACCATTTGTCTGGAGCAGAGTTATTTCAGGGAACAGTGATACATTCTGCCTGTAAGAGATATGATAGCACATGGGGGAAGAGAGCTGTTTTCCTAAGAGGGGCGTTCACTTTGTAACTCTCCATTCATTACCCTGACTGAGCAAGAGCAGATTCCAGCTGAGCAACGGTCTCCTTCTGAGTGCATCGGCAGCCTTCATCATCGTGTCCGTTGTCTGTGGTCTTGAGGACAAACGTGGGCACGTGAATTATAAATTTTCAACAAAGACAAATATTTCAAGTCCTTAAACTAATACCATAGTATTAATAATCTAACAATCATACAGCAATTGCTATGTTCCTGGCACTGTCCCAGGAACTTGATACTAAGCACTAAATTATTATTTTATTTAATCCACATGTCAACCTTATGAATAGACACTATTACTATTCCTATTTTAGATTGGAGGAAATCTAGGCAAAGAGAAATGAAATAACTTGGGCAGGGTCGCATAGCTGGTATACAACAGAACTTAGAGTCAAACTCAAGAGTTCTGGCTCAAGAGACACACTTCTGAACAGTGCTTTCACTTATTTTATGGGGAAATGGTACCATCCTCATCCCATTTTCCAAGTCAAAAATTTGGGGGTCACCTGGATACTTTGTATATGCACACATCCAAAAAGAGATACCCTTGATACCACGCAGATCTCCCTTTTAGGTGTAACTTCTGTTTCTGTCTTAGTTCAGGCTTTGTCATTTATTACCTGGGTGACCACTTCCAATCCCCTCACACTGTATGAGCCAAGATGACCTTTGGCTTGAGATACTAGGCATCAGGCTGCTGCTACCTCTGCAGGGACAGAGTCTAGGGGTAGGTCAGTTCTTTTTGTAGTCTATCCTCTTGTTCCTTCTGCCTGAGGAAGGTTGCGGGGGGGTGGATCTATCTTGGTTTTGATAATTCATGAGGATGAGATCTCTGCAAGACTTTCCCAAACCTGTTCAAGTTATGATACTAAGACTGGAGTTCCTAATTTTGGCTGTGGTTAAACAGCCTTGAATCTAGATATCAGAAATTAATTCAATCATTAAGAGTTAATTTGCTTACTATTTACAAAAGTATATTGAATTATATGAAGATGGCATCTGTGGGAAGGGACTTACATTTATTCATTTATCCAATGTTTATTTACTTGCCACTGTGCGATGGACGAAGGGCTAATTTCCTTTAGAAGCTGCAACACTTTACAGTTTCACTGGTACGATATAAGAGTGCCCATTTCCCTCTTTCTTGCCAACTTTGGGAAGTGGAAAACTAATGTTTTTGCTGATTCTATGGAGGGTAATGTAGTCTTGTTTATATCGTAATATTTTCAGTACTTTCATTCTGAGTAGATTTAGGATATACGTATTTTCAAATATTGATTATTTATATTTTGTTTTTTATAACTTGTATATTCAAATCATTGCCCTTTTATACTGCATTCCATAACATTCTTTTTGATTTATGAAACCATTTTGTATAATATATCATGAAAATTTACCTTTATCAATAATATATGTCTTGAATTATTTTTCTTACTTTGTTGTTTTTCTTTTGACTTTGCTGATAGCAGATTTTACTCCAGAGAAATTTTACACTTTTTAAATAAATCATATCTTAACTGATCTTTTTAATTCTTATATTTAGCATAATACACTGCTTAGGAAGATATTTACTGAGCAAATACATGAATAAATAAATAAACTTGGGCTCTTTTTCATAAGCACCATAATAAGTAGTTATCTTGTATGTAGTAATGCTTTTCATTAATTTTACCGAATTTTTTATTTTAAAGTGTTCGGGGATGTGTTGGAGTGTATTGAATGGATTTTGTGAACCATCTTAGAAAAGTTATGCCCGAAGCAAACTAAAATGACTTGTTCTATGATGCTACAGCAAGGGCAAGAGGATACAGAACCTAGTTGTTTGTTTTCTGTACACAACATTCTTTTTGTTTCACCCAATTAACAAATCGACATTCATAAAGACTATGCCATTTTACTGGGTCTGTAAAATGTGACACAAACACAAGTAACCTTTTATTCAT